CACGAGGTGAACACTGCCCCTCACATTTTCTTCAAAACAAAACCAAATTGGAAAGGGAAAAAAGAAAAGTAGCCCCAAAGAAAAATCGGCCACAATGGATTTGAGCTTTTTGCAGAGGAAATCGCACCCAAAAAATAGGACCCAATCCGAGGGGAAAGGGTGGCGGCAGAGAGGTCAGGCGGAGGAGTGGTGAACTGCGGCGCACAATGGAATTAATGAGATTAACCAGGGCAATTAGGACGCCCGCTCAGCTCCCGGCCCCCGCCAGCGGCGGGGTGGCTGAATGGAAAAAGTTAGGTTAATCTCATTAATTTGCAATCCACAATCTCTGTTCAGGCCCCCTAACCCTTCTCCTTGGCACCTCTGCCCCTCCTCCCTTATAAAGCCCCCAAACCCCCACCCCCAAAGGAACAGAAAGGGCCAAATCTGGTTCTGTTTGTCATCTGCATATTACCAGGAACTAAATCCAGGATGACGTCGACTCAGTATCCTAATGTGCTTTAATAGAGGACTATAGCCCTGGCCAGGGTGGCTAGGGTTCCACGGTGCAGGAGCAACCAATCGTGTGTCTCTCACATCAATGTTTTGCTCTGTGTGTCTTTCCCCCTCCCTTCCACTCTGTCTAGAAATCAAAATCAATGGAAAAAATATCCTCGGGAGAGGATAAATAAATTAATTATTAATTAATTTTTAAAAATAGAAAAATGTATACAGTAGTTTGAGAGCACAGAGGGGGCAGGTTCTACTCTCAGGGTTATCAGGAAAGACTCACAAGAAGGATGACAACAATGGAAAAGAGGCTTTCATTTCAGAGGGAATCCTGTGTGCAAAGGCATCGATGTGTGAGAGGAGCTGCTGAAATAAAAAAGAAAAGTTTGAGAGGGAGGGAGGAAGAATGACGACAACTGTAAATAAGTATGTAGGTGGCAGATAGAAAGAAAGTGGAGTTGAGGGAGCGTGTTCCTGAAAGCACTAATTTTCTTTGTGAAGAAGCAGGCGGTGTTGTCAAAGATGAGGGGACAAGAATACAGAAGGGCACTTAAGGAAACTGCTGAAGTTGTGGGAAGGGGAGGGGAAGCTAACCGTGCTCATACAGAATTACTAGGCAGTACTGAGAGACCACCTGTAACATAGCTGTTAAAACTTCTCTCAGCCCATGTAGCTAACTCTGACTATTCTTTCTTGTCTCCCCTTGATAGAATCTTCTAACTTCTACCTTCTGTGGCAGTATCAATTTTTCTACAGTCCAAGGTTCTTGATATTCTTGCTAACTTCTATATTTGAGATTATTCTCACTGCAAATTCATAACCTGTACAACATTGAAGGCTTCCAACTACAGTTAATACATACAAGGATTTTTCCATCTGCTCTCATTTACATCATAGCATCATGAAGGAGCATTGGATGTTTCTTATTCATTAGACTAGAATAGTAGTTGGCACATAGTAGGCTGTTAATAAATATTTCTGATAAATGAGTGCATAAATGAATAAATAAAGTGTATTTTGCAAAGAAGAAAAATTGCTTAACCCCAAGATAGTGAGTAATGTTTTATTTGTGTATGTTTTTTTTCTATTTAAAAAAAATCAAACAAAACAAGAAACCTGGATGACTCCAAACCCTACCTCACTCCAAAGTTAATGAACTCTGCTTGTTCATTTTTTATATATATATTTTATTGATTTTTTACAGAGAGGAAGGGAGAGAGATAGAGAGTTAGAAACATCGATGAGAGAGAAACACCGATCAGCTGCCTCCTGCACATCTCCCACTGGGGATGTGCCCGCAACCCTGGTACATGCCCTTGACCGGAATCGAACCTGGGACCCTTCAGTCCGCAGGCCGACGCTCTATCCACTGAGCCAAACCGGTTTCGGCTGCTTGTTCATTTTTTAAAAATATGTTTTTATTGGTTTTTAGAGGAAGAAGGATAGAGAGATAAAAACATTAGTGAGAGAGGAACATCATCAATTGGCTACCTCCTGCACATATTCCTACTGGGGATCGAACCCACAACCTGGGCATGTGCCCGGATCAGGAATTAAACCAGGACCTCTATGGTTGCTGGGTCAAAGCTCAACCACTGAGCCACACTGGCTGGGCCAAACCTCTGCTTGTTCAGAACACACACCTACTCCATCCACTGCAATCCTCCACAGAAAAGTTGCGTTGAAATTGCAAGTTTTACTCTAAATAGTTCATATGTTGTAACCTGAAAAGGTATTTCTAATTCAGTTTTCAGGCAGACCCCAAAAAACCTATTGGGGGACACATTCTCGCTCATGCATCAACAACAAGAATAAGCTTGCGAAAGGGAAGAGGAGAACTAAGAATTGCCAAAATTTATGACAGGTAAATATTTTCCTTTTCTTAATCAGGTTCTTGTACATGTGGTATTAAATGAAATTGTCTCTCTTGAGTGGCTGTAATTATACTGCTGGAAGATACTACATTGTTTGAATTTCCTTCTCAAAAATTATTCCACTAATTGGGAAGGCCTTACTGTGCACTAGGTTCTAGGGATTTAGGGATTCTATTGACAAACAGACTTGGTCCCTGGCCTTCCAAAGCTTACAGTGAAGCTAGATAATGGAATAATTCCAACTGAAGTGTGGTTAAGTGCAGGAAAAGTTCAAGGTATGGCAGGAATATGTTCTCCTTTCTTCCTGCCAGTTTTCAAATTTCAGTTTAAACATCACTTCCCCTGACCCTTGCAGTCTAGGCTATACCCTATATTATACCTTATATTCTTTCACAGTACTTTATTTAAGAATTATAAACAGCCCTGGCCAGTGTTTCTTAGTGGTTAGAGCACCGACCCACACACTAAAGTGTCACTAGTTTGATTCCCGGTCAAGGGCACATACCTGGGTTGCAGGCTCAATCCGGCCTGGTCAGGGCATGCGTAGAAGGCAACCAGTTGATGTGTCTCTCTCACATCGATGTTTCTCTCTCTCTCTGTCTCTCTCTGTTTGTCTCCCTCTCTCCCTTCTACTCTCCCTCTTAAAAAAATAATTACAAACAATAAATTTTAAAGAGAAACCTACTACATGTCAACTGGTCTTGGTTCTAGGGATAGATCAGTGAAACAAAAAAAGCAAGGCCCTGCCCTCATACAGCTTACATGCCATTGGTAGTGATTTACAGTATAGCATATGTCATCCTTACTAGACATTAAATACCTGAGAATAGGGACACTATGCCTGGGCAATCAGAGATGTGCAATATTTGTGACTGACTGATTAGCCATCCTGAGCAAAAAGGCAAAGATGTGTAATAACTCTCTACACTAGGGAGGGGAAATCAGTAAAGAAGAAATCAGATAGCTCATAATCTTGTTTTTGCTATGAATCAGAGATTTATTATACATTGTTATTGAATAAATATTAATAATTTCCCACATCTATATGGTTTTTATACAGACCATTTTGTTTTTTATTGTCTGTCCTTTGGAAGACTATAATATTCAAATGCTGTGTTTTATGGAGCTTCAAAAATCTCCAGAAATTTGCTACAAATGTGGAGTTTTTATTAAATTAAATAGATAGTAGAATTGTTTCATGTTTTTACTAAAAATTCTTGATCTATATCTTGGACAGATTCTGTGCTTAGAACTTTCCTAACACTTTTCAACTGATTATATGTGCATCTCCCTCACAACAGGGACTGTTTGGTCCTTTAATGTCCCCAGCACCTAGCAAGCTACTGGGCACATGTAGGAACTCAGTAACTATTTATTAAGTTAAATGAATGTACCTCCATGTTCAGTCATTTATATATTTCATCAAGCCCTCCAAACTGTGCAGGATCAGACAACTCCTCCATTTCTTAAAATCCTAAGAGAATACTAGGGTTCTGCAGACTCAAAAAAGGATAAAGTTATATAGATTAGTTATGTCAAATTTTCAAAGATTTGAATAAAAATAGCAAAACTAGATCAGAGTTTAAAATGTCAAAACTTATCTTCTAAGTTTCTAGTCTGTTGCACATAACTCCCTTCTTTCTAGTTCCTAAAGATTTCTCACAAAGAACTTCTTAATTTCAGAACTTTTTGGTATAGACGATGCTGCTGCTAATAATAATAGCTAACACTCATTGAGTGGCTACTATGTGCTAGGCCTCATGCCAAGTGCTTTATATCTATTTCATTGTTTATAACAACCCTAGAGACAGAGGTCAGTATCCCCATTTCACACATGAGGAAACCAAGGCCCGAAGCAGTTAGGTAACCATTGCTTCTCTACCGTCTATTTTAAACACAGAAGTCAGAGCGATCCTTTGTAAAACTAAGATCATATCTATTCTCTGCTTAAAATCCTCCAATGGCTCCCCATCTTAATTCATAATAACAGCCCAAATCTCTACAGTGGTTTACAGAGCACATGAATGGCCCCCTGTTCCTGTTCTTCCTGCTCTCCCCTTGCTAACAGTGCTCCAACCTCAGTGGGCACCTTGGTGTTCTATACATGTCAGGCGCAGTCCTACCTTAGGGCCTTCGTGCTAATTATTCTCCCTGTCTGGAATAATCTTTCCCCACATTACCCTTTCTCTGGTTATCTCCCTCACCCCCTTCAAGTCTTTGATCAAATGTTACGTTTCCACAATGCTTATCTTGATCTCCCTGTTTAAAATTGCAACTAGCCTCCTCCCACTTTCCATACTTTGTCTCCCTTAGCTAGCTCTACTTTTTCTTTCCCCGTAACACATAATTTTCTAAGATACCGAATAATATATTTGTTATGTCCATTATTTATTGTCTGTCTCTCCCTCCCTCCAAGTATAAGTTCCACAATGACGGGATATTCGTCTATTTTTATTTTTTTTACTTATAGATCTCAAGTGTGTACAACAGGGATAATAGCAGATGCTCAATAAATATTTTCTAAATGAGTATATGAATGGACTTGCCCCAAACCGCACAACCAGTAAGGGATGCAATCAGGATTAGAATCTATGCTGTCTAAATCTAGGGTCTGCACTTTTAATCATTACACCATTTCTTCGTTTATTAGGGATGATCTATTTAGGGTAGTCATAGCTCTTCTACTATAGCCACCCCCATGTCTTCAACTACTACCTTACACACATGTAAGATAAAGACATTTCTTGTTAAAACAAAGAATTCCCC